TCATGTATTACTTGATTGTCACCCGCCAACGAACATGACGTATATGGATCTCCTATGTAGGCGAGGGCGAACTTCAAATTTTCAAATTTCCATCGTTAGTCTCTGGACGCATATCCCTATGTTGAGGATCTGCAACAATGTAATTTGGATTTTTGAGTACTGGCAGCAATGAGTATCCTCACGTATGCAATCCGTGACCTCGGCTTTACAGGTGATTATTTTTTATCTCGAGATCATAGCGGACAACCACCCCCAACCCGGTCTTCCATTCGCATTGGAGGATCAGACAGGAAGAATATTAGCAGCCAGGCCACGGAAAGAAGTGTAATGTTAATAACACGGTGCAAGACATGACTTGGCTCAGGGGCCTTTTAGAGAGGTGAGAAGTAGAAGGATGAAATTATGTAGCTAGATGAAGAAATAGAGCACTGGTAAACACAAATGAGTAAAAAGGCTGTCCATATGACTCTTTGTCAAGTAAGGTATCACATATGTGTTTAAACCACACAATGAGATAATATGTAGCGACAGACCAATTGCTAATACGCACATCTAATTATTTATACTGGCATAGAATATGAGACAGGTAATACAAAAACACTCTCGATGACCCTTTCAATGGTGATTGCCTCTTCTTGGTTATAGGATGGCTATCCTGCTAAAAAATGAGAGCTAATTTACATAATTAAGTCTGGTTCCCCCCACTACAGGGCAGCAAAACAACACCTCCCCAAACTCCGCATCATACAGTTATTTTCCTGAGTCCTACTCCCATTTTGTCGATGTAAAAATATCTTGCTGGCTGGAGTCAACTTGTCAAATGAGCGTCAGCTCCTTTTCTTTTTTTTGGAACATGGAGGCCCCATATGTTCAATCGCGAGTATAGAGTCAAGCTCGTACAGATGAGAGATATTGATTCAAACATGTATCTTGTGTAGTGCTCTTCTCGATTGATTAACTGTGTGTTTTTACATTGTCTTGTTATAAGTGATCACACCGGTGCAAGAGAAGAGATATCGGTGCATGTTGAGATCCCTTAGCAGTTTTAAGAGCTAAACCCCATGTCCACCTCAAGAGGGGCGAAAAGAATCAGTTGGCCTGACGTACTCTTCACCAAAATATACGCGTCCCGCCTGGGAGAGGAGAAGGTGTCATAGGAGAGATGAGGGAGAGGGAGGGAGAATATAAGACGCGCACATGGCCTTAGAGAGAGGGAGATATACTAAGTACTACACACCTAGAGGACTAGCATTTCCCTTTATGTATGAAAGCAGAGTCATTATATAGTTCTCGCTTTCTTAATTTTTAAAGTGGACTTGCCTTTTCGCGCTGACCTTCCCAATCAACAGCTCTTCGCGCAGTGAAGCAACAGAATCGCATTTGTAATCAATTGATTCCATAGATTGAATCTATGCAAGAAGCACAACTTTGAGTTTATTTAAGAGGTTGCCTTTGCAATTTGTAGAAAGCCGGTGAAACAGATCTCTATGCAAGCTGAAATTAGAGAAATTTAAACCAAAATCAGCACGTTGAATTACATGGGAGAGGGATACTTTTGTTGCATTCATTAGCTGCGGTCACTACGAAGGACTTACCAGAGCAGAGAGCAACCAAAGAACACATTTGTCTGGTTAATCATGCCTTCAGGGTTGGTCTGCAGTACACTGATATTACCAATGAAATCTTATATGGTGATATTAGAATGTTTGTAACAGACTATAGAATCCATGCCCAAGAGTGAGTGGTATAAGACTCTATGGGCAATACAAGGAAGAATAACTGGCAATTGCTGCAATTAATCCTGTCCTGTATTCTCCTTCAACTTTTATCTGTCTTTCTGTCTTCCTTTCACGCTCCAACGTCTTCTCACCACGCGCCCGTTGTGTGGTTTTTCTAAGACTCGGCTACCCGCACAGGATGCACGATCCGGAGTAATAATACAAGTGGGCCTGGGCGCGGAACTCCTGTGGGCGACTCTCGGACCAGACGCATACTGGAGGTTTACCTAGTTTGATTTCAGTTTTGGCGGGAGAGGGCCCTCAGGAGACCACAGATGTGCCTCGACCACTCACCAGCGTTGTAAACGAAAGCACGCCGAGTAATAGGTCAAGAATTCTGCAGTTCGTAGCAGGCAAAATTCACCCGAACAGTTGCATTCTCATGGCGTTATGCAATGTGAGAACCGAGGACGATTTTTTCTAACCCAAGCTCACCACACTACCGCACTGAGCGGCTCCAGGAGGTTAAAGGTCCGGTATCTCCTGGTTCACAGGACCAGCGCCAGCTGGAACTACAGCCAGAGAGCCTTTTCCGGCTTGTTCAGCAGGATTTCCAATAAAAACTCCAGCCCCGACTGCCTCGGTGGCCCCCAAAGCTTTGCACAGCGTTTAACATTAGGACGTCCATGATCGCTTGTAAGTATACTACAGCATGATCCTGCACAGTAACACCAGCATAACATAAATAGGAAGGACTGGGCTCCTGTGTTGAGAAATGTGAGGCAATTTTGTTCCTTTTCCTGGGCTGCTTGAGAGGCGTAGGCAACAGCAGCTCTCCTACTATTCCTTGTTTTCGGCTCCTTTTGTCTACTTTGACACTCTTTATGAACTCTCAAGCACTTTATGCTAAGCCTGTTCGACCAACTGCAAGTTTTTTAAGTTCCTGGTGTACAAAACACCTGATATGAAGCTAACTGGATTTACTAAGGCATGGAGCTGAATTCCTTCAGCATTCCCACGTAAGATGAAGATAATGCTGCCCTGACACTATTCCATTTGTTTAGAATGTACTTAAATACTAGGGGCTTGGCTCAAAAACCTCCCATGATTCAAGTAATTAGTCCAAAAGAAGACCCCAGTTTGCATTTTGTCAGTGGAATCTTCTGCAACTTTTTAGCGCCCCGTCCCATTGCACAGCAGAGGCGACAGCATGGCAGGGCGGTGTAAACTTTACAAACCCCGGGTCTCAAAATACGCACAAACACAAAACTAACTGTAATAGGAACCGGACAGGCTGATAGAAGCGGCCGGAGTATGCAGCATGAGGCAGGCATATCATTCCAATTTTATTTGTTAAGGAGCAATTCATAAAACAGAGTTATCTCGGACACTTTTCAATAAGAGCAGGGTCTAGACGAACTCGCTTCAACTCCTTATAACATTATTCACAGCCGCTCAACCCAAGTTAAACTTACCATCTGATGTTGTCTTTTTCTTCAGTGAAGCCTGCTCCAGCCAGCATGCTGGTGCCTTCGCTGAGGTGACCCACAAAGTAGTTACTGAAGTGGAAGGACACTGCAGTCTCATACGCATGCAGCCACCTGCGCAACACATAAAGCGTAAGTCAAAGACACACAATTAGCTTTTTTTTTTTTTTTTCTCAATTCCATCACTTCGATCATTTACACTTGACCTCTTAATCTCCTCTGAGTTGAAGTTAGGTGCTCCTATGGCATGGATTACTTACAGTCAGGGTTGGGTTAGATTACTTTAAAATGTAGTAAGTTACTGAATACTAATTACATGGCGATTTTTGTAATTACTAACATAATTCATTAGATTACTTCAAAGTTAAACATTAAAAATATTGCACCTTGTACTAAATGCAGACACAAAAATTTGTGTTGCACATTTTTGGAGCTGCTCATTAATGTCACCCTTGACCCAAACAGCCAACAACTCAATCAAGAAGCAGGCTACTACTTTACTACTTCTTTCCTGTTTTGATACGGTTTACGATGCTGGTAAATAGGTTGGCTAGCCAGTTGGACTGTGAGAAAGCTATGGAGCATTGGTGTAGTGGGGGGTAAATCCAAGTAAACTCAGTTATCAACCTCTTTGAAATAAAGCCAGAGTTTACTCATCTAGAGCTCATCGTCTGCTTGAATACATTTTTTCTGTTAATCATATTTGATTTGATGGGGAAAGTGCCAAAACTGAATCAACAGGATTTTTTCAATTCCAATCTCTGAATATTCTTAAGAATTAATATTCATTGTAAGGTTGTACTGGCATTATTAAGCTAATCATTATTTCACTGATATAAAATGGTCTTAACGCAATTATTTCTGGGAAAATGTATTGTCCATTCAATCATCCAAAGTAGTTATTGTGGTAGGAATGACCGTGAGATGCTCCAGAAAAAGCTAGTAAGTGGACCAGAATGTTTTGTCAAACTACCTTAGGCTACGTTCACACTGTAGGCACAGGTGACCCAAATTAGATTTTTTAATGACAGTGTGAACAGCACAAAATGCATTTTTCAATTCTGATTTTGGCCACATTCATATGTGGTCTATGTTCTACATTCATCATGTGGGTAACTTTGACCTGTTCACACTGGAATCTGATATGGGCCACATAAAAAAAAAATTTAAAATAAAAAAATAAATCAAAGAATACTGATAATCAAGCACAGTAGCATTAATCTGGCCTTTGGAGAGATGGGCACATGCTTTCTAATAGCAGGAACTTTGCCTTACTTCTGTGTGACTGTGTTTCCTTGGACGGGGATGAACAATGTGAAGAGGTAAGGGGCGATGCAGGTAGAGACCAGCAGACAGATCTGACTCTTCACGAGGCTGAGTGAGGAACTCTGCAGCCACAACCAGCTCTGAGGAAGGAACCACCTCATTAAAACCACAGTTCTACACATGAAGACCGGCGTGCACACAGAGGAAGCAGGAAACACCGACTACCCACCAGTTTTCTGCCTTCAATGGCATTCTTATAACTGGAGAAGCTGATCCAAGGGCCGAACACAACAGTGCCCACAAAAAGAACATAGCCCAGGAACTCAGCTGGGGAGGGCAGGGTGCCTACTGCTCCTCTGTCCAGGTCAAAGGCCAGAGAGATGGCCTTCATGGCCACCACCATCTGAGAGCCTGAGACACACGGGGGCAAGATTACGCGTTTATTGACAGTGCAGTATTGTAGAAAACAAGTTTAAAACCAAGAACATGAAACACAAACAAAACTTCCATGACGGTATTCTCAGACCAAATGATGGAATATTTACCTCTTATTTTATGCCAGGTCACCATGTCAATTAAATGCAACTCTCTGAAATGAAGAGATAGACGTATGAATTCTACACAGAAAGTAGAATCTTTGCAGACTTACTATGAAATTAATTAATGGAGATTTTGCACAGACACGCTGAGGGTATAACTACACAAGGAAATGACATTGACAAAATCATTCAATAAGCAATGCCAAGTGTTGGGGTCGTTACTCATAGAAAGTAATGTATTACATATTACTTTTTAAAAAGTAATGCAGCAGAGATAGATAGTTGATTGTTGAGTCTCATTCCCAGGGTCCCAAAGCATCTGGATATGATGCCCTGGGAAAAATGATCTTTCTTGGCCTCCAAATGGTAAATGGACTATACTTGTATGACCACTCAACGCGCTTTTACACACACATTCACCCTTTCACACATTGATGGCGAACAAACTAACACACTCATAGCCTCTCCACGGACACAATAGACACGTCGCGGTGTTGAATTTCATGGATATTGTAGGGAAACAACTTCAGATATTCACTGACTTCAGTGTCAGAGTTGAAGGAAGCTGTATGCTCCTTTAGGCATTATTGTGCAAACATGCATGAAAAGACATGTTATGCAGATAATTAAAGAGCTTATCTAATGCAGTAATGACAAAACTGTAGCAACTGTAATGTGATTACTGGAGTTACTGCGTTGCATTACTGCACTACAGATAAATGTTATGTAAATACAGTAATGCACCACACCCAACACTGGCAATGCCATGGTACGATTCCATAGATAGACCACTAGTTGGAGGTACAAGTGGCATATAAGGAGTTCGGTCTAGCTGCTCATTTGAAACATGTCCTGAGATAATTCTGTATGAATTGGCGCTATACAGAATAAAATTGAATTGAATTGAATTGAATACAGCCTCATGACAATTGATTGTGTCTGTTTTATTTTAAGCTGCAATAATCAATTTCAGTTTCCAGTTTTCACACAGTGTGGTTCTTTTGCAGTGTGTTCTCACCCAATGAGGAGGTAGATGAGGATGACGACTGAAAGGAAGAGGCCTCTGCTGCTCGAGTGTCGGCTGAGGAGCAGAACGAGGTAACAGAGTGCACTGAGCAACAGGACCCACAGCATGTGCAGCTCAAAGAACAGGAAGAGGCCGTACATCCCAGCCAACACTGATGTCACATGCTTTGCAGTGGACACGCCCCCTTAGGGACACAAGTACGGAAACACTTCAATTATAATCTAAAGTCCAAAAAAGGCCTTATGAGGCTTTAATCTGACCGAAATAGAGTGCTGCGGGATGTCATTTTTGTAGTGCAATCAGGAAGTTAGCATCGTCCTGGCCAATGGGATTTTTCCATTTGATTTTGGATTATTGCAGAAATGAGCTCAAGGTGAACAAATGATACTTAGACGTTTTGTTCAGCAAGATAATCTTCACAAATGAACCTGTCTTTTATGATTTTTAAGCATAAATGTGATCGCCAGAAGTAAAAAGCTAATGTTAGCTATAAACCAACTACACCATGGTCACATGACCTCAACGTCCACTAACCTTCCAACTTGTAATTAAACCTTGTAATTAAAATCTACAAGTTGTAAAGTTTGAGTTAGAATAGTTTGCAAGAGCACAGGTATACACAATGAGGCTGTAAAGGTGGACTATTGAGTAGATAAGTGAATGAATATAAATTAATATATTTTCATTATTAAAGCAAAGTTTAAATTTTATTTTATAATTATGATGATTATTTTATCTCATAATTATGACTTTTTATCAAAATGTTAATCATTTCGACATTTTAATCTTATATTTTTATCTTCCTGGCGGGAATGGGCTTCCATATTTACTGATGTATTTTATGTCATAGAACAAATGTGAAAGTCTCTTGTGTTAAGCACAGGCTTTATTTCAGGCATCTAACCAAAAACCCACTGACTTAAGGAGGTGAACGAGAGGTGCTAAAATGCTGACTCCAGGTTTTAGGACTCATTCCTGTAGCACTCTTTATGTTTCATCACATCAAAATTGGTTGAATTTGAGTTGATTCCAAACAAGTGTTATAAATGTGTATGATGTGCAAAACAAAACAAAAGAAAGTCTGAAAAGTCCATTTCACAGTCACTTTATGCAACAATATGATCTTAGCTAGGACTAGTGTTGAAATCAATCTCAATCTATTTAGTATGTGAGTGCTGACAATAGATCAACAACAGGTAAGAGGAGCCTTCTTCTACTTGCTGATATGCAGTCAGTGCAGCTTACCCAGTCTGAAGCAGAGTCTGCAGATCAGGCAGGGCAGCAGCAGCCTCCAGACCTGCTGTAGGCTCTGCTGGACTGTAATGAGACCACACATCTCAGCCAGCTCCTGCCACATCTCCAGCCGGCTGGATATGTCCATCCTACAGCTCCATGCACACACACACAAAAAGAAACTATAATGAAATGTATTACGTTCAGCAACCTATGAAAAAGTCTAAATGAAATAAAGACACATTTATTTTTGGATCCAAAGCTACATGCCACTCTTGACAATTCTGCAAATCAGTGAACACAAGCTGTACTGGACTTACAGAATATTTGCACCAAAGTACTGTTTGGTATTTTTCCTTGATCAACAACTTACAGGTTAATCCATTATGAAAGATATTGCATATCAATTATAAACAATTTCATGACACCCCCTTTACGAGGTGTTAAAGACATCTGAACAGCAGCACAAACTACAGCCTCCATGAAATTAAATTAAAACTTCTCTGAACCTCAACAAAAACTGAATGATAACCTTCATAACAGGACCTGTTTTGTTAGACTGCATTAGTGTCAGCCAGCTGGACCCAATAAACTGGACACAAGTGTGACAGTTTAACTGGTGGTTGAATTAACTGGTGATATTCCCCGAAGCATTGCGTGCAGATTTGTACACTAGAATAGCTGGACTGAAGTTTACTTCATCATTTTAACCAACCAGAATGAAATCCTTAACACCTGTAAACCCCCCAAGTTCTTGATGTCAAATAAGATTAACAGAGTTACCCGGGAGTTTGTATATTAATTTTATTTACTGACGGAATCTCCAGGCATGCCTGAAAGAGGATGGGCAAAGATACCGCTGTCGATTGCCTGTTTCCAACACACTGCAAATGTCATAAATCAGATTCATCACAGATGTATTATATATCATGACCAGCACACTCTTTCATGCCAAATTCGACAACATTCAGAATTCCTTTTTGCAATAGGAACAGAATGGAGCTACACTACTTTAGAAATACCTATTCAACTTTGCTGGGATTTTGATAAATTGGACAGATTATAAAATGTGATAGAATTGGTGGGTGCGTTATATATTTGAAATGTCAGGATATGTTTAAATATCATCTTGAAGTAAGAGTGTGGGCAAATGCATGTATGTGACCGATTAACTTTTGATCAAGACGTCTGCTCTACCAGCTGACTCACTGTTTCCATATTAACAGTTTAGAAGACTTTTATCAATCTTTGATATTTTATTCTTATACATGTCAGGCAAAGTCTTTCAACCAAATTAGATATTGTAACTCATTTGGCAAATAGGGGCAGAAGTTGGATGCCCAGCTGTACAAACTAAATTCAGAAGAGAGTGGTATAAGTTCGGTTAACTACGCACAGGTGCGTGCATGGGGGTTGGGGTGGTAGTCTGTATGAGTTTCATTCACATGTCAAAACTTTTTGGGTTTTTAAGTAGCTTGGAAAGAGTGTGGAAAGTAGTCAGAATCTTAATTTCCCGGTTAGGCAATAAGGGGTCCTCAAAAGCCACGCCTACGCACATCTGCCTCAGTATCACCAGTTAATTCAACCACCAGTTAAACTGTCACACCCAGCACACAGCCCCCTCTACACTGTCAATGCTACACACTCACAATAGGCTAGCTTAAGGCCTAACAAATACACTTTACCCAGCGATACATAATAGATTTAGCGTTAGTTCAGTAACAAACTTTAACTAACAGTAACTTTGTAACTGCTAACACAGACGTTACATAACACTAACCTGAGATGCTTTCAAAACATGTAGCTTGCTAACGTTATCGAAAACGTATATTTAGCTAAAATGTAGCGGACTTTGGAGTGTTAGTTGTGTAAAACAAGTCAGTGCAATAGAGTGTTAAGTATCAGAACCTGTCGTTACTAGTTCTACTGTTGGTTGAACACCAGTGCATTCAGCCGAGGCTATAGCTACAGTGGGATGTTAGTTAGCTACAAAGCTAACCTGTGCTGTGGAAGAGCGGAACAGTGGCAGACCCGGACCTGATAGTAGCTGGATAACGGAGAAGTTACCTTCAGTGTGTTCCCTGGCCCCTCTTCCTTTTCTTCTTCTTTTTCCAATTCTTCTTTTTTTGTTTGCCTCTACTTCTTCTTTGGGGTTTAATGGCGGTTAGCACACCAGCTCAAAAGTGCATTACCGCCACCTACTAGACTGGAGTATAGAAGATTGCAGGAAAACAATGTATTTACCTAACGTAATAATAGTAGTTAAATAATAGATAATTAATTAATTGTCACTGACTGCACTGGAGTGTGTAGCAGTTCCTCACTGCATCATTCCGGTAGTGTTCTGCCTGCTGATTGTTTTTCTTAGGATGGCGAAGGCATGGCATAGCTGTTTTCCATGAGTGGGTGGAATAAGGAATAATGACTATTCACTCAAAATGCATCATTTTTTTGTAGTTGTCTCACCAATCTGTGGGCCAGTATTAATGCAAAATCTGCTCCTCTTGTGTGGCTAATGTTCAAGTGCTGTTTATCCTTTGCTGGATGGGCATACATTAAGAGGACATCCACTTCTCCAGGCAACACTACACTGCAAGTTAGCATACCATAGTATGGATTGTATCCTTTTACTAGAAACATTTTTATTGTTCTGCATCAGAGAAAAACACAATGGTGGCATAATTTATAGATAGATAATGACTAATTGCTGACTGAACAAATGAGTTTCACATGGGAGGTGCATTGGGATTCATAATTAAAGAAGTAATTATATCAGCTGTGAATAGATGTTTTTCTTTTGTTTAACACAGTTAATCCAACAGAATATTGGGTCAGTTGTTTTGAAAAATGGTGTGAAAAATGTGTTGACACATTTGCAAGAGAAGACTGCTGTGCTCAGAAGGTGATGACAGAGATCAAGTGGATCCCAGTTTCATTAAGTATATTTTAGCAATCAAAGAAAACTGTATTATTGTATGTTTTTTGTCACTCTGTATTCATATATTTGTGAACACTGCAATACAACATGTATTACTACCCCACTGCTACACATTCTGTCACTGGTTAGTGAGCTTCAGTGTTATCACCTTGGCCCCCTACTGCCATTACAGGACCAGTATTGGACCAAGGAACTGGCCTCAGAAGTGGGCATGGTGCTGCAAACTCTCCCTAAATGTTAAGATCGGTCAAATACAGGTACTACACAGTATTTGTCCACAGGAACCAACTCAATCTAATGGCTTAACCTAGAGTACTGATGCTTGTCATCATATATTGCTGTGGACCCGAGGATCATCATTATCAGGTCTACCATCTGTTCTGTGGTTTCAGGAGCTGAGAACATACAGTATGCTGTCCATCAGTTACTGGGAACAAAAGTTTTCATCTTTAAAACTGGCAGGGCTGTGTTAAGTCACCATGATCCTCAAGGTTAAGATAAGATAGGAATTAACTGTAATCACCCTTAACAAAATGTTTGTGCCAAAACATGTAGAGCAAAGCATTCACTTGAGTGAAAAGAATGAATAAAGTTAAAAACCAGTTACTGTTATAATTTATGAAAATAAAAAATATAGAATGATAAGCAATGAAGAAAACTCTACAGAAAGGTGTGTTACCATATGACAAAATTTACTATAAAAACTGTACAGATGTTGCATCAGTATTACAAATCTATGTATTATTATGTATTATACATATTCACACATATTTATGTATGTATGTATATATATACTGATCAGCCATAACATTCCTACCACCTGGGCAACCTGGTGGTCATAATGTTCTGCAGCCCCATACCAACAAACTGTGATGTGTGTTCTGACACCGTTCTATCAGAACACATACATCCATGAGCCTCTGGCCGCCCATGACCCTGTCTCCAGTTCACTGGTTTTCCTCCCTTGGAGCACTTTTGATAGGTACTGATCACTGCAGACCAGGAACACCCCACAAGGGCTGCAGTTTTGGAGATGCTCTGACCCAGTCGTCTAGCCATCACAAGTCAAAGTCGCTCAAATGCTCATGCTGCCCATTTTTCCTGCTTCTAACACATCAACTTTGAGGACAAAATGTTCACTCAGGAGCCATGATAACCACATAATCAGTGTTATTCACTTCACCTGTCAGTGGTCATATTGTTATGCCTGATCAGTGTATATACAAAGCTTTGTTCTATACATACATACAAACATATATGTATGCGCGTGTGTGTGTGTGTATACATCACAGCATCCATTTGAGTGAAAAGCATACTGTTACTGTGTTATAAGCAATGAAGAAAACTGTACGGAGAGGTGTCTCCATATGACAATATTACTATAAAAACTCTACAGATGTAATTAATGTTAAGTATGTGTATTTTAAATGTTTTGAAACTTGAAATCATGTGGATATACACAATAATATGAATAATAATAAAATGAATGTATTTATTCATAAATGTACCTCTTTGTATTTGAAACATGTTTCTTTTTTACTGTTTCCTGTTCTGACTGGCTGATCTGGGATGCAGAAACACAGCTGTGCTCTCTGACTGGCTGATTTTGAGGGCAGCGATCAGCTGTACAGTGTGAAATATTCATGGGTTGGCCATGGAGACTAAGCAATGTTATGCTATATCAATATTTGCTTGGAAGAGCCCCCAAAAGAAGATATTTGAACCCAAAAACATTAATGTGGCACATTAGTAAAGAATTGAATAGAACTATCTAAAGGTGGCGTTAAAAATCAATACACTGTTTTATTTCCAAATCTTCAGACATTTTCCCAAATACTGTCTTTTTTCATTAAACTGAAGCCTGTCGCTTAGTCTAAGATGTGGCCATAACAAGTCATTTAATTATATGTGTACATTTAAGTTTTTTAAAATGTTATTTTTAAAATTAATCTAAATGAATGTGTTCAATTTCACAGTATTTGAAACCAAACTGGTGTGGCAGCTGCCACTCCATGCGCCCCCTGTAGACCCGCCCCTGCTGTACTGTAGGTTAATTTAGTTCTTTGAGTAGTAGCAGCACTATTAGCCTATATTGCTCTATTATGCGTAGTACTTGCACTACGTAGTTGGTTTAAGGTTACTGGATGTTTTATTGACTTGAGGACTGTGTTCAGTGAGGTCTTCCTCCATACCCTGTCCTCCAGCTGCTTCACGGCTCTTGAAATACTGACACCGTGTCTGCCTCCAGCAGCCCACAGACCGAGCCGAGGGGGCAGGGCGGCCCCTCCGTTAGCCGCGGCCGGCTGCAGCTCTCCTGTGCTCCTGCAGGAGGCAGTGCAGCGGGGCTTCTGTCCATGGTGCTGAAGATTCGGCTGGCTCTGTCCGGGGTGCTGAACAGCTCCGGAGTGCTGGGCTCAGTCTGAGGCTGCTGTCATTACGATTCACACCGTGTTCTGGTGCTTTATTGTGCTTGTGTGTTACCGTATACGTCTGTCTGCCAGCCCGGAGATGTCGGAGGAGCGGAGGGGGAGGGGAAGGTAAGGCTTTATGTCTCCCTGACAAAGAGCATGAAGCGCACTCATTTGTCGGTATTTTCTGGGGCCTTGGCTGCGGGCCTTACGGTGGAATCCACACCGAGCAGGAAGAACGTGATGTAGCGATATGTAGGCCAGTCCGCCGTGGTTGACAGCGTGCTTCCTTTCATCTGTTCCCTTCGTGGAGAATAATTCAAGCTAGGTTTGAATTGTGCGGACGGTGAGCTTTTTAAACCGATTATTATTGTCGGTCGTTATTTCCGGCCCCTACAATGGCGGCCCGGCGTCGATACCACTACTTTTCGTAAACCGCTGAACGCCGGTGGCCTTTGTATGTTCTGCGTTTAGTCAGTGTGCCAGTTGAGGAGAAGAGAAAGGCCTCGTCCCGGTTAGCAGCCCGGCCTACATCTCTGCTGTCACCGCACAACAAGCCTGCTCTCTGTAGGCTGCTCGATATTCACTTTTTGTGTTTTTTTTGTTAAATGTTCTGCCTGAAGAAATGTAGTGGTAGTCAGTCCACATTAAACTGATGGCATGCTCAGTGTTAGCAGGAATAAAGTCACTTTAAACCTTTTCTGGCTCGTGACCCTGTTCGAAGGTCCCCAAAATGTCAAAAGCAAGCTGCTGTCAGGCTGTCATGTCCGACATACCTTCGTAAATAAGAGAACTCTCTAAATGGAATATATTGAGATGGGATATTTTGAAGTTATAATCGATAATGTCTGTGTTTACTGTCTTTTTTGTTTAATTTAAAAAAAGGTTTTATTGTTATTTTTTCATATAGGCTATGATATGCTTAGATAAGATAAAAAAGGAGACACACACCGCACACAGTTTTTAAGAGGGTTCTTCTAGACTAAGAAATTTGAAACAAAGACCCTTCCAAAAGTCCTGCCTCAGTCAACTTTCTCCTTTCCTGTACTTAGATATGCTATGTGCTAGGCTAATCTATTGAAAAGACAACCACATTTTAAAAATGATTAAAGATTAAAGCAACATACAGTCAAATCTAATGTTAGCAAAACTATTGGTGTAGAGCTAGTTAGCTAGTGTTTTTGCTCTGTAGCAAAATGTTAGTGAGCTAGCTAGCTAACGATTTATAAAGATTAGCTGTCCAGTTAGTTAGCATTTAAGCTAAAATGTGACTATATATGTCACTTTTATCTTTGAACCATGCATCCATAAAAACATTCACAAGCCTAGAATATAGCATATCTAAGTTCAGGAAAGGAGAAAGAAAGGTTGAAGTTCTGATCGAAGCTTGCTCAACTGTTATTAGAGCACACACCAAAAAGGGGCGGGACTTAGGAAGGGTCCATTAAAGAGCAATTCTTCACTTCTGAAAATGAATGAAAACCAGAAACAAATCATAAACAAAGCTACATGTTTTTCATAGGACAATGACAATCATATTTTCAGTAAATACATTAGACCATCCCTGCCTTGCATATGCCTACATATCTGAAACCCCACACAGTTTGTTATGCAGGCTTTCTGTTGTGATGCCATGAGTACGTAACCCTGGTGACATCACTATGACATCATCAGGGTTATTTTCCTCAGACTTGACAAAGCTCCTCCAGAGCCACAGAGGACATGATTATACATCTGGTTTCACAATCTGAGTAGTAA